CAGTTGAGATTTTTCTTTAATCTGGCATCGGTATTCTAAAAAAGAATCTGTAATTTACTGAAGTGTGATTATATTCAAGTGGCGGCCACGTATAAACAAACCACGTTAAGTACACACTCGATAAAATCAACATTTCTGATAACTGATAAGCTACAGTCAACACTGATCATATTGAATTATAGGTTTGTGAACTTTAGCAATCAAACGCGATGCTACTCTAAATTCAAGCACCGTGAAGATACAAGACTAAGTAACACTGCGTTAGATAACAGAAAAAATTGGAAGTGAAATAATTCCTGCGATAATCCACTTCCATTTTTTGAATCAACATTCTTTACCATTCGTTGCAGAGATTGTCTGCGCTTGTACTGAACTAATACAATGTTAACTCCGCACAAAGAACACGTGCAGTTGAAACTCAAAGTTCTCACGGTCTGTTACAGGGTTTAAATGACATAGAATCCCTTTTGATCCCGGCAGACATGAACTTGTAAGCAATCTCTCCAGTTACCATTTGTCTGCCCCACATAACTTTCAACTGTTCACACGAAATGGTTCAAAATGTTACCTTAAATAGGATACTGCTCTCAAATACGGTTTATAAAATTTCATAACATCTCCTAAAACAAATGGTAAGGTAGACACAGAGCCCATTTGTGAAGTTTCTTCGTAAGAACAACGTTGAACATCCAAAACGCAAAAACATATACGACTTACAGTCAAATGTTTGCTGGACAACAGCTAAACAAAAGCAAGAATGACATCGATCCATTATAACTCCATGGAAAAGGATCCTTTAGAAGCTGATAGCTGCTCAGTTCGTCAAGAAATTCACCTCATTTTATAGAATTAGAAGATTGTTAGTCTTCACAACAGGCCACGAGCGGTCAGCAGCGTAAACCAGAAAACTCTAGTCTACATCCTGACACCCTATTTATTTACGTCATATTAATAATGTTTTCTCATCCAGACCCAGGTCCCACGTGTTGACTCTTCCGTTCAGGTTTTCCAACAAAAATAAACACAGGTCTCATCTCTCTCGAGTGCTACAAAAATAAACACAGGTCTCATCTCTCTCATGAGTGCTATATGCCCCGCCCAGCACATCCTTGTGATCAAAATCCATGAATCAGTCACTTCTTCTTGAGAAGCTTAGACGTCAAAAAACAGTAACAAAATTCCGCCCCTTTCATAGATCCAGAAAGTCCACTGCCATGTTCACAAAAGCCAGACACTAAACCCCATCATGAGACAGTCGAATCCAATCCAAGTCTTCATATACTGTTTGTAGAATACTTTTAGGATCAGTGGTAATATTATACTCTCATTTATGTCTTGGTCTCGCAAGTGGACTCTTTCCTTCAATCGACTGTGTCCTAAGCTGTGATATACGAAGTCTAATTTAAATTATTTTTTTGCACAGGTCCTAATGAATATGGAGTTAGCATATTTCACAGACGACAGTAACATGCACTACATTTAATGACTGGAAGTTTTGTGACGTTAGTACAACGTTGTGTTCCTCAGGCAGCCATAGTATTAATCGGGGCCTAATATTTCACATTTATTTTTGATTCACTCTAATCAGTCTCTATGAGAAATGTCATAACACAAGTCTCAATTACGAAACAAACATAAAAAAACTGATTGTGTGTGGTTTGTAGGATTTTTGAAATTTATGCCACAATCTTTCTTATAAAAATATGGAATGGAAGTAAATACATTCTCATATTGACTTGATAAGTCAGCATCGAAACAATTATTACGCTCAGGTATAGTCGGTGCAGTAGTTTTTGGCCGGTGAAGCTAGTGGAGCTGGCAGACGGGCCTACTCTGTGTACCTGAGGTGGCACGGTCAGCGTATTTCTTTTGTTTGGGCGTTCAGTCCGATAAGCTCCTCGGTGCAGTCAGCATTATACTATCGCAAAAGAGACTCGCTCCTAGCCTTCCCCTTGAAAATTCCACCGGCCAAAAACTACTGCGCCGACTATACCTTTAAGACACTGAATGGCTAAAATCTGTCTTAATTTCAAACAATTATGTATCTAAAATAAGCAGTGATTTTCTGTTTCAGTCAAACTCAACAAACAGGATGTACTTGGGCTAAACATCAACTCGGAATACGAAACGAAAAGTTTCCACATGAAGTCACGTGTTCATTTTATACTGTCCTAAACCTTCAACACAATAAATCACAAATCAGTAGACAAAGAGAGACGGAACGTGTACATAAATGATGGCCAGCAAAATCTTACCACTTTTTCACAAAAACTATCTTCATGTTATTGATGAAAAGTCCCTTCAACAAACGTTTTGAATTTCCGTTTCACTTTAATCCACCTGTTAGCTTTCCGCTGTGCACTTTTCATTTATCAACTTCACTCAGTTTACAAAGTATTTCGCTTACAAACCAAGAACGGGATTAATGTTTTTGTTTGTAGTTCTGAGTGTTATCTACGAAGTCAAGCAATTTACAGACAGAAGTCATATTTTTACTTGTGAATAAAAGAAACTGCGTACTTCTGTTGAGTTCGGCTATACAGGACACTGAATCAAAATTGATGTTTTCCGTAGCAAACATCGCACTATAAACAAATTCCATGCTCTGGAACAAAATACCTTATTGGAAATACGTTACAAGTTAGGAAATGCACGCACGGCGTAAGAAATCTGACGCGTTAGCCAGAATTTTACCTTCGAGAACAGTGTCAATGATGTATACATGATTTGTGAAGAATATTTAAAAGACTAATGGAAATGGTTAAACACGCGGTAACACTACGCCTACATACGTAGCCTGGAATTCTGGCACGTAAATTCAATAACAAATACACAATTTACTACAATTACTATACGATATTTGTAAACCAGATTGAAAATCACTGGTTATGTTCTGTTAATCGGGAAATCTGTCTGAAATACACTGCATGTAACGCGTGGTCGACAGTGTCCATGTGTTTCCAACAAAAACATTTTAATTACGACAGCCCCAGCCTTGTTCAAACCCACTCGTTTGTCGTTCGCTCCAAAATGAAAGCAGTCTATCGAAATTTGTAAAAACAGAAAAAACACACGCGTTCGGTTTTGTTGTGTATACCGACTATTAATTCAATTTTCATTATCTTGAAGAAGATGAACGTCGTATAAACTAAAATCGACGCAGGTACAATATATATCTGAATTACAATTCACGTCACAAAGTTTTGAATGTGATCTGTGGAATGATATCCACTCGTAATATAATAGCCAGTATCCTTCACGCTTGGCTGTATAAGCGCCCGAATCATGCGATGCGGAAAAATTTTAAATTAAGTTCCGACTACGATGGGGCCTATGGTAAAATCTGACAGAATCTTCGTTTGACGGGAACCTTGAGTAAGGGATCGGTTCTTCGTTGGTGTGGTTGGCAAGAATCTGGTTTCTTTCAACAACCGAATGCAATGCTGGCGCAATGGAAGCAGAGTTTTCTCTTAAGACGACGCTACAGTAAAGTGTTCAACACACAAAAAAATTCTCTGCCGCCATTCGAGCAGCTACTTACCATAAAACGTACATTCACAGTGACGACAAGACTAGAGATAAATAAACGCCCATATAAAAATAAAACGAAGCTAATGAAAGGGCATAGATCAACCAAGCGTTAGTCAAGAAGCCAGGAGAAATATTAACGAGTCTCAAGGAAGCGCAAGTACGCCATCATTAAACAGCAGTCGTCACTTGAAACAGCGGAGCGTAGAGCACGAGAAGTCATTTCCATATAATGGCGATGTTGCTATAAAGCGATAAAGTAGTTCTCTCCCTGTGACGCAAAAAAAAAGTGTCTTTCCGCCCAAAACAATCCTACAGCGTAATGGTAACACGACATATAATCTTTGTTTTCGCTTTGCCGCGGCGACTCAAAAATGTTCTTCTGGGCATCTCACAAAGTCTGTGTAAAAGCGTCATTTTCAGCAAAGAATAATTTCGTTCTCTTACAACTACGTTGATGTCTCACTGACTGTAATGATCGTCATGTATTTGTGTGTTAACACGTGAAAGAAAAGTTTTAAACATAAAATCAGCAAAATATAAACATAAAATTGTTATTGTTTGTGAGAAAAGTTGAACAAAAGCAATGTAGGGCAGTGGATTCATATTTTGGTAATGTTCTGTGTATTATAAA